GCACGTTCCAGTATGGATGCCAAACCCTGGCTCCCTTTGCACACATGAACTGTCCTCCAGGTTGGCAGTTACTCTGCCCTCCACACCACAACAGAAATACCTAGGTCAGACTAGGCCCAGGAGTGTGATCACGGGAACAGTGAAAGAGTATTGCATGAAGGGGCAAAGTGACCAGACTTGAACTTCAAAGATTCCCCTGGTGCTAGTCCGCAGGGCAGGGAGCTTCCCCCATGTGGAGTGGGGATGCTGACAGGAAAGAGTGAGGTCCAGGCAGAGGGCGGACCTGGGCTGCTGCTCGTAGAAAGGCTGAAGTGGGGTCCAGGGAGGAAGTACAATGAAACATTTAGTGGCGGTGAGGCATTACGGGAAGGATGGAGGAAGTGGAGCAATAAAGATGCTGCACAGACAGGATACAGCCGTGGAGAGGTTCCTTCCCAGTAGGTGGCGCTGCGGACAAAACTGGTTAGACATTTGGGTATGAGCAAAACATCAGTTCAGCCCTGGTAGTGTTGGGCAAAGATTCCCATCTCCCTTTCAGTTAATCTTGTCAGTGTGACTGGATTTAGAAATGCCTAGGAGACACGGGTCTTGGCGAGTCTGTGAAGGGCTTTCCTAAATATGGGTGGCTTTAATTTCATCGCATAGGGATCAAGACAGTGAGAAAAGAATTGGAGGATTTATCTCGCCTGTGGATACAATGAAGCCAGCTGTTCATAGTCTTGCCGCTTTGACTCTGTGCATTCTCCATTTTGAGGGCCTTTACACTCAACGTGTGAGCCAGAATAAACCTCTCCTTCTTTAATATGCTTTTGTCAGGCAATTTGTTATGGAGCCAGAAAAAAAAATTATGGCGGGTGGCAGCACACACATGTACTCCCAGCACTTGGAGGGAATGGAGAGGCAGGTGCAGGTTCACAGGTGGAGCTCTGTGAACTTGACAGCAGTCTGGTAAACATAGCAAGTTCCAGGCCAGCCAGAACCACACAGTGAGATACTGTCTCAGAAACAAAACGAGAAAATAGCTACTGTACCTGGTCGTAGCACAGCCATCCTTGTAAGCCTTAAGTTCCGGGCAGCGGCATGCTGTCTGCCTGGAGCTACACACTGCGTCCGCCACATCAACTGGTGCTCGGCATATAGAATGTCACCATCTTGTCGCCTGCAAACAGGATCCACTTACCCAAAGCTGGCCTCCTCAACTCTGTCCTGCAGACTGAGGCAGGAGCCAGGGCTACCAGTGATGGAAGGTACCGGTTGCTACGTATACTGCCGCCCTTCCACTGCCCTGAGAAGACGCCACCAATCCATCACAGAACTCTTTCCTCCAGGAATCCTCAGAAGCCTTCTAAACACTGAGCCCCAGCGGGTATCACTGATTGTCGGTAGCGAGGAAGACAGGTAGAGGAGGGGGTGAAGAGGCTTGTGAGGACCCAGGGCGAGCTGCTCTCCTGGCCCTGGCCTAGTCTCTTCTGCCCCTCTCAGTGAGGGAGCCTTGGCTGCCGCTCAGGTCCAGCAGCTATTGAGAAGGCTGAATCCAGCCCCTTAACAACGAGGTGAGCGGTCCTAGCAGCCACGACCTTCCCGGCTACTGAGTAGGTCTCCCTGGTAAGTATGGTTGTACACATGGCTTCAACGTAAGAAAGGCCTTCACACCTACCTGCCAGCAGCCACGGGTGGTAGCGTCTTCAAAGAGTGACCCCGGATATCTGTTCGGCCCATGGGAAGGTCATGTTGGAAGCTGAAGTAGTCCAGGAGGTCCACACATTTATACTACAACCTCAGGGAACCCATAAGTCTTGGTAGGATCCTCCACTGGCATAGATGCTGGCAAAGCAGCTTCAAGAGTAATTCATTTACGGGGAAGCAGCTTGCTTTCTGCCTTACATGATATTGCCTGTTAAAAACATGTTCTGCCCGGTGGCGCACGCCTGTAATCCAGCACTTGGGGAGGCAGAGGCGGGCAGATCTCTGTGAGTTTGAGGCCAGCCTTGTCTACAGAGTGAGTCCAGGGCAGCCAAAGCTACACAAAGAAACCCTGTCTTGAAAAACAAAACAAAACAACCATAAAAACAAAAAATAATTGTAATAGTAATTAATAGTACATGCTCTGTGCTCTCTCCTGATCTCCAGCCTCATGTTGAGGAAGTGAGGGCCTGGAAAGACGAAGCATCTTCCAAGATCATTGTCACTGTCAACTTGACAAGATCTAGAGTCACCTGGGGGGGTGTCTCTGGCCATGCCTGTGAGGAATTTTTCCTAACTGGGTTCACTGAAGTAGGAAGACCACTTTAAAGCAGGTAGCATCTTCGGGCTTGGATACCGGACAGTAGGGAAATGAATGTGCCTGAGCAGCAGCTTTCATCACTCTCTTGTTCCTGACCACAGAGACAATGTGACCAGCTGCCTTAAGACTCCATCCCCATGGCTTTCCACCATGATGGATTATGAGACTAAATAAAGCCCTTCCTTCTTCCCTTTCTGGTTTGGCCAAATATTTATTGTAGCAAAGAGGAAATTAACTGATGTAACTGTGAAGCCTAAAGCCACACTGTGGCCTCATCATGGATCTCTAGCGACCTTCTTCCACGGCTGCCACTGTGAGCTCTGTTGTCTTAATCAAGGCCAGGGAACTTCTGGGTTCCTGTGTGGTACAATCTGGTGGGCCATATCCTGAGCGCCCTCCGTGTTGCCCCTTTGCTCCCTGAACAACTCCAGTGTGTTAGCTTTCCATCACTATAAAAAAAAATACCCTAGACAGTTATCTTATAAAGAAGAAAGGGAGCTGGAGAGATGACTGAGTGCTTGAGGGAGTATACTGCAATTTGTAGGGAGAACTGTGTCTGTTTGGCGGGGTCCTGGATTTCCATGGGGGACTTCTGGAATGGACAGCGAGCAGGAGTTCTGTTTCTCTCCACGGGCAGCTAGAGCGCTTTAGGGCAAGGCCCATGTTTGATAAGCTGGGGTGTGGAAAAGGTTTTCCACAGAGTGTTCCAGTTTAGCTCTTTTAGCATGACATCGCTGGTGGCAGTGGAAGCTCAGGTGTTACAAAGCCTATGGCGATACCAAAAGGGTATGGCTCTTGGTTAAGCTGCTGTGCTAAGCATGGCAGAGGTGTGGGCCAAAGCCCATGCCTGGTCAGCTTGCAGTCAAGACACAGGCCTGGGGAAGCCCAGGCCCAATGGACGGAGGGCAGGCCTGGTGAGATGCGGCCTGGCAAAGGATAAATGACTTATCTCAGATGGTCTTGAAGCGAGACATCTTACTTTATTTATGTGAAATTAAGAGCAATATAAACCCCTGGGCAGAAGGAGGGATTTCGAGGGTGAATGTGTTTGATTCGCTGGGGTCAGGATGTCAGGGATACTTGATAGTCCTGTCACAAGAAGGATGAGGGGAAAATCTCTAACTATAGCAAAAGGCCACTGTTTCAGACTAAGATCCCCTCAGCAGGGTGGGGTGTTTCTAGGAATCCCTAGATGCTTGCTAGAGCAGTTTCCTGATCAGGGAAGGGTCTGGCCTGTATTCTGCCCTGAGGGCTATGTGATGCTCTTTACAAGACCTGGGGTCACCCAGATCAGGGGAGACGTTTAGAACCCTGCTGAGAAAAGGGAGTCTGTCATCATAGACTAAGCACAGATAAATAGCTCTCCGGAGACATCAGACTTCAACCTTATCCAGAAGAGCCCCACAGGGAGCAGAGTTCAGTTCCTACCACCCATGTTGGGTTAGCTCACAACCACCTGTAACTCTAGCTCCAGGTGGATTCCATGGATATCTTTACACACACACACACACACACACACACACACACACACACACACACACATCCCTACCCCATACATGTGCGTAATTTTAATAAAAATAAATGTTTAAATAACAAAAAACTATCTTACGTGTATGGATGTTTTGTTTTGTTTTTTTTTGTGAACCACATGCATACCTGATAACCACAAAGGCCAGGTGAGGGCGTCAGAATAACTGAAGTTACAGGTGGTTATGAGACTTCATGTGGGTGGTGGGGTTGGAACATGGGTCTTCTGGGAGAACAGCCAGTGCTTTTAATCACTGGGCCATCTCTCCAGCCCTTAAACTTTTTTTTTTTAAATAAAAAAGGTTATTTTGGCTTAAAAATTTAAAGGGGTAGAGTCATGACGGGGTGGACCTATTGTTTCAAAGCCTCTGATGGTTAGAAATGGTGGGAAGGGTGTGTGGCAAAGAGAACTGTTGACCTCGTGAGCAGGAGGATAAAGAAAAAGGAAAGGAAGAGACTACCATTCCATAGTCCCTTTCAAGGAAATGTCTTCCACTCTTTCAGGAAAATGTCCTCAGTGAGCCAATGCCTTCTATCAGTCCTCATCCTTCTATTTAACCTTCAGCACTCGGGATGGAACCTGGGCTTTCTATATGCTACAACCTAAACAGGTCCACCACTGGGCTATCTTACCAGCTCTCTGGGTTCCACCTTTCGAAGTTCCCACCACGACCTCAGGAACTACACCTATAATGAGTGGCCTTTGGAGGACATTCAAAATCCAAGAAACAGCAATCCTTCCCCAGTCACATTTCAGAGGAGATTTACCCGAGGGTACCCCAGTCTTCACTCCAGGCCGTGTAAACTCAGTCCTTGTCTTTTTCTCATCCTGGACCTGCGAATCTTCTTCTGTCCTGTCCTGCAGACAGGGCCTGGCCCTGGGAATACTCATGTGTGAGCCCTTCTCAGACAGACGTTTGTGAGACTGAGCAACAGAGCAGGTGCACAACAGAGGCCTGTCCCAGCCCTTTGACAGGGCCTCCCGACACCCTCAAGTCTCAGAATTCTTGCTATGGTAAGAATTCCAGGTTTCCTGGCCTCATGAGAACATTAAGGTAAGTGAGTTCCAGAATACAGGGGCCTCAGCACAGGTGGAGGAGGGCCTAAGAGCCGGGTGCTCAGGCTAGACACTGGCCTGGGTCTGAGGCCCATCCACTGTGGCTGTGGGGCCCCTTGCAGGCATCTCAGTATGGTCCTGGAGCTCTACATGGACTTGCTGTCCCCACCTTGCCGCGCTGTCTACATCTTTGCCAAGAAGAATGGCATCCCTTTTGATTTCCAATTGGTGGATCTACTAAAAGGTCAGTCCCCAGTGTTGCCGGGAAGCCTGGTCCCGAGGCACTGCCAGGGTACCTGGTGAGGGTGTTTCTGAAGGTCAAATGTCAGCAAGGGAAGCAGAGATGAAACAGATGTCAAGGTGATCAGTCGCATCTAGACTACCTTCTCTAGTCACCCAGAATGAGTTTCTGTTAGGATGAATAGGATCTTTTGGTGGTAAAGGATGAAGAGATGCTAGAAGAGCTTAAGACTCTCAAGCCAGGGCTTTTGCCATCATTTTTGGAGGTCTCACATCTTGATATCTCTGGCATCCACCAACCAGGCTGGTGAAGGCCACAGACCCACTTCCATGTAAGGTGCATATGTTACTCAGTCACACTTCTCCAGTCTGCACCCATACTCCCTCAGTCTGTGTTCACCCTCCCTCAGTCTGTGCCTACCCACTTCAAGCCTGTTTTCACCATCTAAGTGTTCAAAACCTGCTCTGGGACTAGGATTGTGGCTCAGTGATAACAGGCTTGCTTAGCATGCCACAGGCAAGACCCTGTGATCCCCAGTTTGTGCATGTGTGCAAATGGACACATGCATAAAAGAAAGAGAAAGAAAGAAAGAAAGAAAGAAAGAAAGAAAGAAAGAAAGAAAGAAAGAAAGAAAGAAAGAAACAAAGAAAGAAAAGGAGGAGGAAAAAGAAGAAAACAATATGAAAAAATGTGTACTAAAGGTTGCACAGATCCCCATACCTCATGTGGGGATCCGTGGATTTGGGATCCAAGACACTGAGGAGTCTCTAAGAGCACAGCTCAAAGAGACGCAGCCTCTGGACTGTAGAGGAGACGTGGGGAGCTGCAGAAATGGAAGAGGTGTGGCCCCTGGAAGGGTTTTCCTCTTACAAACAGTTCGTCAGGAGGAGTTAATATTTCTGCCTGCTGTGGAGTTCCCTGTATTTGCAGGGTTCCCCACGCTGCCAGATTCAGTTGCTCTACCCCTCAAAGGAGAGGCAGAGTGAGTGGAAGGTGATGAGACTGAAGGTGATGAGACTGAAGGTGACACTTAGGTCCCTAGGGCTAAGGTTGACTCATAGGTTGTGGCTTCAGGCCTTGAGTGAAGGCTTCTGGGAGCCAAAGTGTTGTTTTGATCTCTGGAGAAGGGGACCTTGAGGGCTGGGGTGGGAGAATCTGGGAAAAGGATTCCTAATCCTGGTCCCTGTGATACTTTACCTTTCTGCTGTGACTTGGGGCAAGCCATATGATCCTTGAGACCTCAGTTTCTCCCTTTTATCTCTAGAAGCCCAAGTTCTCTTTTCCCTGGGGTCTCCAAAGCCCCAGACCCTCTCTGCCCCCCCAGGTCACCACCATAGCAAGGAATACATCGCAATCAACCCCCTGAGGAAGGTTCCCAGCCTCAAAGATGGTCAGTTCATCTTATCTGAAAGGTAAGGGCCCTGCCATCATCTCTGCTCCTTCTGGGAGACTCAGTGGGAACAGACTTGCAAGTGTTTATTTGTTTATTTATTTCTTTATTTTCTGAGGTCTCTCTAGGTAGCCTTGGCTGGCCTAGACCTCACTGTGTAAACAAGAGTGCCCTCAAACTCAAAGAGTTTTTATATCTGTCTTTATATCCTGAGTACTGGGATTAAAGGTTTGCAACATCAGGCCTAGCCTATTGATTTATTTTTAAGCTATAGAAACTTTTACAAACACACACACACACACACACACACACACACACACACACACACGAATACTAACAAAGAGTTCAGCGTTACCCCACATATCTGTCTCCCAGCTTCTGCAGCTTCCTAACTTTGTCTAATGTACACTTCTCTTTGTTCCTTCTCCTTCCAGTCACCCCATCACTTTGCCCATGAATACTTAGGAATAGCCTACTAAGAAATGAAGACTCTAAAACATGTATCAACCTACACCATTATAACCATGAATAAAATTATCAGTCCTTCCCAGATTTTATCCACAGCCAGCTCATATTCAAGTCTCCAATTGCATCATATTTTTCCTTGTTCTCCCTCTTCCTCTTTCTCTGTCTCTCTCTCTCACACACAATTATGTTATGTGTATGAGTATTTTTCTTACATGTATGTGTGTGCACTGTGTGTGTGCATTCCTGGTACCTGGGATGCCAGAAGGACTTATCAGATCTCGTGGGAACCGGAGTTATGGATGGTTGAGAGCTGCCATGTGGATGCTAGGAACCTGTCTAGGATCCTCTGCGATAGCAAACAAGTGCCCTTAACCATTAAGCCACCATTCCAGTCCCTCTTAAGTCCCTCTTTATCTATGTTCTCTGTCTTAGTCTGTTTTGGGTTTCTGTGATTTAATATGGCAGTAGGTTAATAGAGCAGAAGGTTCACTTTAGCTTGTGGTTCTAGAGGCTGCAAAGCCCAGGAGAGGATTAGCATCTCCTGGGGCCTTCCCTTTGGGTCCTAGCAACACAGAGGTTATGACATGGGGAGCAAAGCAAGAGAGCCAGAGAGAGCATGTTTGCTTTATAACAAAGCTACCAGTGACAACCTGGTAAGATATTATTTTAGCCACGCATGACTCAATCCACTGCTATGATCCAATAACCTTGAGCTGTCCCACCACCTAAAAGCTCCCAATGAGAAGTCAATGTCCACTTGAGTTTTAGTGGGGGACATTCAAACCCTCTCAACCCCTGTTGTTTTGTTTCACTTTATTTTGCTTCTGACTGGCATCTTGGTACGCCTGTTGCTGATGATGAACGCTGGCTCTTCTGTCCTGTACCGGTTCCTACACTGTCAGTTAGCGAGCACGGCCATCTCTCCCTGCAAAGCACGGCTTTGGTCTGACCCATCTCCTGTATCCTTTAAACCCACTACCTCATTCCATACTCATCCCTGAGAGACCAGTACCTCTTGCTGGATTATTGCTTGAGCCACCATCTTGGTCTTCCCCTGGTTTATTCTACCTCTTCCAACTGGAGGGATATATCCTTTCATCCCTCTTGATCTTAAAGATTAAGTCTATGGGCTGGAGAGATGGCTCCATGGCTAAGAGCACTGACTGCTCTTACAGAGGACCCAGGTTTGGTTCCCAGGTTTGGCTCACACGTGTGTCATAACTGCTTGTAACTGTAGTTCTGGGGGAATCGTACTCCTCCTTCCAGCGTCTAAATGCACCAGACACACAGTGATTCGCAGACATACACACGGGCAAAGCACTCATACACAAAAACCAATTAAAAAATAATTAAGCCTAAAAGCATACCCGAAGCATCTCTGGCAGTCCTTCTCCATTCCCCACCCCCCTCCAGCCATGTCTCCGCTCACCACTCTCCTCACTCCCTCTGGAATGCCAACGTCCTTTGCTCCCTGCCAGCACTGCCCTTTCTTATGCCGGTCATTAACTCCCGTGCCCTCTTCAGGTGTTCCTCCCTGATTTGCTCATTATTGGACTGACATGAGAGCTAGGGGTAGGCTTTCTGGAAGCCTTTGGGTTCCTTCTCCCCCTGGAGGAATGTAGCATCTAGAGCCTTGCCTGCGGCTGAAGGTCCAGTTTGACCCAGGCCATGCTGGGGTGGCGTCGGGGCCCTCAGACGGTAAAGACAGTGCCCCTGACTCACCCTTTCTGCAGCGTGGCCATCCTCTTCTACCTATGCCGCAAGTACAGTGCGCCTTCCCACTGGTACCCACCAGACCTGCACACGCGTGCCCGTGTGGATGAGTTCATGGCCTGGCAGCACACAGCTATTCGGGAGCCCATGAGCAAGATACTGTGGGTCAAGGTAAGCAGGATCAAGTCTGGGATTCAGGAACGGGGGGAAAAAAGCAGTTAGAAAACCTGAAGTCCTGTCCTGCTTCTGCTGACTGAGCCTCATTTCCCCCCAATCCCATGTCTGCCTGCCTTACAGAGCACCTGGGAGTGTGAGATGAAGCAGGAGAAAAATACTATGGCAAAGGGGAAGGGCAACTAGAAAGGGCCAAGACAGGATTTGGGAAACTTCATTCTGAGTTAGAAAATATCGTTATATTTAAAGGTGACAACCAGCTTGCATATCCCTACAGCTAATTTTCTGCCTGTGCTTTTTAGGCCATTTTCCATTTGCTATAATAAAATGCTCCAGGCCAGGTAATTTATGAAGAAAAGAGGTTTATTTAGCTTTTGGTTTCGGAAACACAAAGTCTAAACAGCATGGCACCAGCTCTAGAGAGGGCCTCCTAGCGGATGCTATTACAATGGAAGCGAGTGGAAGAGGGATCACCTGATAGGACAGGGAGCAGGAGCTGAGGCTGGGGACCAGTCCTGCCCTTTTAATAATGGCTTGTCCTCTGTAGTACTAACTGGGTCCACCTTGATCCCTTCTGGAGTCATTAATGCCCCCCCTCCCCCCGTAGACTCCAGCCCCTTTCATATCACCACGAGGACTGGACTCCCAATGGGTCAACCTTTGGTGGGGGAGACACACTCAGTCTGCAGGACTCATTGTTATTGGGGCCTCCACATCCTTCTGAACGCAAGGCCCTTGGTAACTGCCACTTGAGGATGGACGATGGCCAATATTGCTTGACATCCTTGGAATTGTCCAAGCTCTAGCTAGCAGACAGGGGTGCAGGAGCATGGCAAGGGGCCGGAGTACTGCCACCACATCTGTCCCTCTTCCCTCCCTGGCCAGTTGCTAATCCCAATGATCACTGGTGAGGAGGCACCCACTGAGAAGATAGACCAGGCACTGGAGGAGGTGAATAAAAGCATAGAGAAATTTGAGGAGAAGTTTCTGCAGGACAAGCTGTTCATCTCTGGAGACCACATCTCACTAGCTGACTTGGTGGCCCTGGTGGAAATGATGCAGGTATGGGGGGAGGGAGGCGAGTCTGGGAAGAGGTAAAATGTTTATGTGACCAGGGGCCAGAGTCTGAGGAGAGAGCCAGGGGAAGCCTTGAGGGTTGTGGGTACCAGGTGTGGGTGCCCAGGGCCACCTGGAAGTGACAGGAAAGAAGCCCAGGTTTTGAATCAGGGAGTAGCATGATCATGGAACTTGACAAGGTTTCTGTGGCAAGGAGAGGAGCGAGAGGAGAGCCAGGGGTGCCAAGGAAAATATTGTATGCCAGCGAAGATCCCTGATGCCTGATCCTCCCTCTGGACTCTCCAGGAAGTACGTGGAGGCTTCTGGTGTGTCGTTCCAACTTGCCTCTTTCCCAGAGCTCCAGAGTATCATAAGACAGCTCTCCCAACTCTGGCAGTGGACACCACTATATATTAGAGGCAAAGCCAGATGAGTGCTGCCTTTCCGTGTGTGCCCAGTTCTAAGCTACCGGGTATGTTCAGGATGGCCAATTTAGCCACTTGCGATGTCCTCTTTTTAAGAGGACATGTGCCCCAGGCTGGCCTCAAACTAGCTATTTAGCTATGGGTGACCTTCAACTTTTGATTCTCTTGCTACTACTTCCCCATTGTGGGACTCACAGGTATAGGACAGCACAATGCCTGCTTCGTGGTGTGCTGGGGATTGAACCGAGTGCTTTATGCATGCTCTATGAGTACTCTACCTTCTGAGCTACATTCTCAGCCCACCAGCCAGTGTCTTGATCGTTTCTGATCGACATGCAAAGTAGCAACTTTAGTCCCTGCCCAATGTGCAGTGTAGAGCAGCACAAGGAAACCATCCTAACCTGTACCAAGCACAGGGCCCTATGCTCACCTCTATGCTCCCCACAATTCACAGACCTCCCCTTGGGGCTTCGGAACACTGTGGGTGCATATTTCTTAACAAAGCAGCTAAAGGGCTAAGCATGGTGTTTCCTCATTTTTCCATTTTGCCTGATCACAGGAGGTTCTGTGTGTGTGTGTGTGTGTGTGTGTGTGTGTGTGTGTGTAAGAGGTAGCAATCATGCTCCATTTCTTTGATAAGAACCTTCCCTGGAAGAAGGCCAGATACATAGAATAGTGGGAGCTACCTGGGTCAGGCGCTACCATCTTGGACCAGGATCCTCTACGCCTGGTTTACACAGACTGCAGAGCTTAGACACCTTGCCAATAAGAACGCATCCAGCAGGCAGCAGATGGCTCCCTGTTTGCAGAGGCAGGTGCAGACAACCGGTGAGCCTACTGAAGACCCAAGTGCAACCTCTGTCCGTGCTGACCGCACCTTCCTTTTTTTGTTCATCCACAGCCCATAGCGACTAACCACAACGTCTTCAGCACCGCCAAGCTTGCTGAATGGCGAATGCGAGTGGAGTTAGCCATCGGTTCCAAACTCTTCTGGGAGGCTCATGACCGACTGGTGAAATTACCAAAATGGGACTGTTCCGTGCTGGACCCTATAGTCAAGACGAAGATCAGCGAGCTTCTGCACAAGTATAAGTGACCCCAGAGGCAGTTCGTTCTGCAGGGGTCTGGCCACCTCAGCCTTCTTAGGGAAGGCGCTATAAGCAACAGCCTGTTCCTTCACCCAATAAAATAAAAGACCTGGAACAGCAACCATGACCGTTATGGGGACAGTGGTGTCAGCAAATAGCATGGTATGGGAGCAGGTGGCACTCACAGGTCATTTTGCTTTCCAAAAAGAAGAGGAGAGCCTGGGGGAGACGGCTCAGTGGCTGAGGTGCTTGCCACCTGAGTTCAGATCTCTACTGCCCACGCAAAGGCCGGGTCCACTGGTGTCCCGTCCCACGGGACTTAGTTATTCGTGGGGGCGAAGGGGGTCAATCCTGAAAAAGATGGGGGAGAGAGAGAAAGGACACAAGCAGACGGTTGCCGGTCAAGTGTCTCTTTTAATGAACTTTGTTGTTTCTTTTAAAACGTGGTTTTGGCAGGGCGGGGGAGAGGGGCGAGAAAGGAAAGTAATAGTGGAAAAATACCAAGGCCCTTGGTGAGAAGTTCCCAAGGCTAAGAAGGTGGGTTAAAGAGTTACAAGGCCCGAAGATAACATCGGTGGTCATATCGGTGATCACGGATGTGTCCCAAAGCAAACAGTTTTGGGAACAATGGGTTGTAAGAAGCTATGGCCTGCTGGCGCCCAGTGCTTTTCTGGCAGGTCAGGCCCTTAGGAAGGGTCCCAGGGCTATGTTCCCAACACACTGGCCCAGGCGCAATCCCCAGGGCTGGCCAAACAGTCAGCCTAGCTGAAATGGCAAGCCCCAGGTTCAGCAGGAGAGATGCTAGTTCAAAAACAAGACGGGAAATGAAAGAGTAAGACACCAACTTGTAGTCTCTGTAGGTGCAAGCACCCCCCCCCCCACAAAACACATACACAAAAGAATGCAAAAGTCAGACTATATGATTACATTCTCATTAATAATAGTTGGCCATGTCAGTGCCTCCTTTCAATAACAATAGAATAACTAGGCAGAATAATACACTAATATGAAGAAACTGTATGATAACTGGACCTACTAGAACATTCCCCACAAGAGTGGAATAAATATTTTTTCTCAAATTTCACATGGATTAGCCATCAGGAGACACCATAGGTACGGTTATAAATAAGTCTTAACTTTAAGAAGATTGAAATCATGAAATCTGCGTTCTCTGACTCCAATGAAATGAAATCAGAAGTCACTCACAGGGGCCAGTGAGATGGCGCAGCAGGTAGAGGAGCCTGCTGCCAAGCCTGCTGACCTAAATTCAATCCCTAAGACTTCCCAGGGTTGAAGGAGAAAATCAATTCTAAAAAGATGTCCTCTGACCTTCCTGTGTGTGTACATGTGTGTGCATGGGCACACACAAATTAAATGCAATAGAAAGCTTCAAAGAGGAAGTGGTGGCAGAAGGAAGGCCAGGTGTGTGTGGAGGTCTAGGAAGATTGTTGTACAGACATGAGACCCGGGTTCATATCCCCAGCATCCAACATGAAAGCTGGGTGTGGCAGTGTTGTGCTGTAGGCCAGAGGCAGGAGGATCACTGTCTGGCTAAATTGACAGCTTCAGGTTTCAGTGAGAGTTCTATCTCAAGAAAACAAGGGGCTGTGGGGATGGCTCAGAGATTAATCAGCCAGCTGTCCATCCAGAGGACTGAGGTTTAAGTCCTGCCCCTCACACGGCGGCTCACAACCATCTGTGACTCGAGCTCCAGGGGACCTGCATGCACGGGACACACACATGTAAATATGACATAATAAATATATTTTAAAAAAACAATAAGAGGAAGTGATTGAAAAAAGACACCCAAAGTTAACCTGCACATATACAATATGTACACGCACACAGAGATGGAGGAGAGGGAGAGGGAGGAAAGGGAGAGGGAAGAGAAGGAGAGGGAGAAAAGTTCACAATTGTGTAGAATTTAAACAATGCTTTTACACAGACACTGGGAAAAAGGAGAAGAAAAAAATCAGGGAAATTAGTAACTTGGGCAAATAAAATGAAAGAATACACCGAAATGTGCACAGGATAAGCAGTACTAAAGCAGAAAATGTACAGCTATAAAGAAATACATAAAAAAAGGTGCAATCTGGGGGGCTGGAGAGATGACTCAGTGGTTAAAAACATTGGCTTCTCTTCCAGAACACCCTCTTCAATTCCCAGCACCCACATGGCAGCTCACAACTGTCTGTAACTCCAGTTCCAGGGGATCTGACACCTGAATACAATTGTACATGCAGACAAAACACAAATCAATAATATCAATAAGTTTTTTTTTTTTAAAGGCATGATCTGGGGCTGGAGAGACGGCTCTGGGGAAATGACCTAGTGAAACTTCATGCCTCCACACGTACCTAAAATAGGCACTCTGACAGAATATATTGGTGGTTTGGGAAATGGTGAAAGTTTAATTATTTTTAATTATGTGTTTCTGTGTGTGTTTGTATGTGAGAATGTGTACGTGTTGTGTAGTCCAGAAGGGGTTCATATTCCTAAGAGCTGCAGTTGGAGGCAGTTGTGAGCCATCTGGTATTGGTGTCAGGAACCCGTCTCTAGTCCCACGAAAGAACCTTTTCCTTCCCTAACCACTGAGCCGCAGTGACACTGACTCTCTACAGCCCTGAGAGTCAGTGTTTAATGAGTGCAGAGTTTCAGTTTTGTAGAGTACGTTGCAGAGATCCGTCACACAACATTGGGATACACCAACACACGGTAATTTTGTGTTAAATGCTCTAACCACAATAAGCACAATAAAGATAAACATACGTAAAAGTTATGAGAGCAAGGCATAGTGGCACCGGCTTTTAATCCTAGCACTTGTGGACATAAACATATTTTTGTTTTAACCCCTGGTGTGGGATGTGGACCTGGCTCAGGTAGTCCACAGCAGCAAACTATTTGCCTCATGCATTCTCTGAGAGGACTCTTTGCCAGCTACAGATAGTTTAACTCTGAGGACTTTAGAGAGAGAATAAATGCCAGTGCCCAGAGAGTGTTGGGGAGCTCTGAGAAAGAACAAGGCTGCTGCTGCTTCCCTCCTGCAGCTCCTGCAGCTCCAGTGAGACAACTGGAGATCTCCTGAAACAAGGATTGGATTGGCTCCGAAGAACCAGATGACCCTAACCGGCAGCTAAGAGAACTGCGCTCCCTCTCCCACTAGCCCTCTCTCTCTCTTACCTGGGGTTGGGGTGCTGGGAGAGATTGGGGTGGATTAGGGGAAAGAGATATAAGAAATGTAACTAAAAGAGTTTTTTAAAAAGTAGGCCAGCACATTGGGAGACAGCGGCAGGTGGATCTCTGCAAGTTCGAAGTCAGCCTGGTCTACAGAGTGAGTTCTAGGACAGCAGGAGCTAAACAAAACAACAAACAAACAACACAATGTTATGATTCACCCTTGGGAGAGGAGAGGTGGGATGGCTGGTTTTAATGTCGTGTTGCCACAAATTAAGAGTCACCCGAGTAAGAAGCCGCACTGCAGCGCTGTCCTGATTGGCATCAATGGATGTGAGAAGACCTGTCCAGTTGTGGACTTCACCTTCTAGGCGAAGCCCAGATAAAATGGGCATGGTAGCATTCTCCTTTGTCACCCTGCCCTCTAGCTGCTGAGTTGATTTACCAGGGATACTGATACTGCCTGATGCTGACTCCATTGAGGGTATTACAGTCAGCATTTCCAGGCTTCCATTGTTGGCTGAGGCTCTCCAGGAACCCCTCCAGATTTTTGGCAACACATTGGGACAGGTGGACTGACCGTCAGGCTCCTGTGACAGACGGCCAGCTGTGGGACTACTCCCAAGGCTGAGGCATCCAGCCTCAAGGGCCAAGCAACTCTCTGGTTCTCAGCCTCTTGGATGTGAGACAACTGTGGCTATTATTTCCATGTAAGCTGATTTAAGAGATTCTTTTAATATACACGTATATTCGATCTCTTCTGTTCTTACAGAGACTCAATACAGGATGAAAACATTCTTTATTACACCATGGTCTGTGACATATACCCTCATACCCTAAAGATAGACACAGGTCCTGTCTAGAATATGTTGTAGCCTCCTCAGCCCTTCCTAGGGACTGTCCATTCCCACATCTTGGACTTTGGAGGTGGCTGTTTTGTATCCTGTAATCCTTTACCATTCAAGCTGACTGTCCGTGTAAGAGTTAATGTTTGGTGAAGAAATGAGCAGATTCAATTCTCAGGCTCCAACCCTAATACACTGAGCCCAGCAGGCCTTTGGCTGTGGAAGATGTCCTGGAGAGCTCAGGAGCAGACACACAGAGAAGGAAGGGGCCTCTGGGGGTTCCAGTGACATGCTAGGCTCTTAGACTTTGAGCTGACTTTGACCTGTGACAATGCAGGTTCTAATTCAGTGTTACAGGGCTTGGGGTTTCTTTCTTTTTTGCTTTTCTTTCCTTTTCTCCTTTTATTCTCCTGCCCCTTGCATAAATCAAACTTTTCTGATAATGGAGGAAAGGAAGGCTTGTAAAAATTATACTACACCTATATGGCAGGATAGTAAAACAGGGTTCTGGTTTACTTTCTGTTATTGTGACAAACACCATGAAAAAAAAAATATCTCGGGAGGAAAGGGTTTATTTCATCTTATAGGTCATAGTCCATCTTTGATGGAAATCAAGGCAAGTACTCAAGCCAGGAACCTGGAGGTTGGAACCAAAGCAGAAAGGATGGAGGAACCTTGCTTGCTGCCTTGCTCAGTTAGCACCCTGTGTAGCCCAGTCCCACCTGCCTAGGGGTGATACCGCCCATAGGCTAAGCCCTCCTGTGTCAATCAGTTACTAAGAAAGTGCCCTACGGATATGGCCACCAGCCAATCTGATTGAGGCAGCTCTTCAGCGTAAGGGCTCCTTCTTCCCAGGTGAATCTGCTTGTTTCATGTAGACGAGTGAAACTATCACAGTTGTCAAAAACCATGTAATATAAATTTATTTTAAAACAGAAAAAATGTTCAAACATTTAGTACAGAGAAAAGAAGATTGCAAAAATGTACCCTTTCCCTCCCCCGGTCCTTTACACTCCGATAAAACTCAGTGTCTACTCCAGGTCCCCTTGGTCTCACCTCCCTTGTTGTGGGCCTCTCCGTGGAGTCTGGTGGTATATCACTCCCAGAAGCCAGCAAGGCCTGCTACTAAGCTTGCTAGGTGAGTTTCTTGGCTCCTTTAGACAGTGGCCTTTCACCTCCTGCCTCTGGCTTTCAAGAAGCCTACCAGTGGGGGTTGGGAGGAATGTGCATTAGATTGAAGATCTCGCCTTTCTGTGTGTCCGCAAAATAATAATAATAACGATGATGATGATGATGATGATGATGATGATGATGCAGGAAAGTGTTACTGGGAATCTTGGGGAGTCCCTGTGGAGACATTATATGATGACAAGGAAATCATGGTCCCCTCTTGGAATCCTGTTTCATTAATAAAAGAATTAAGAGTGGTCACAAACAAAAGCTCAAGGACAAAGAACAGACTCAGATAGAAGCTTTGAGACCATTTATTAGAGTTTAAAGAGAGCCCCCACCCCACCCCCACCCCAGGGCAGGCTTGCTTTGAGTCTCACAGTTGCCTGGAAGGAAGGAGAATGGTGCAGAATGCACAATCCCACGGAGCGTGACATGAGGTGGATGGAGGCAGCAGGGAGCCACAGGGTCAGGAGGGCAACTTTAGAAAAGGATCCAGGAAGAGCCCAGAGTACTAGTTAGGGGGTTGAAAAGCATACAAAATAAGTCATTGTCACCAATTTCCAGTCTTTTTGAATAAATATTATGGTTTTAGTTTTTAAAAAATATATTTTTTAAAAAATTATGTGTATTTGCTCACGTACATCCAAAAGACACTGGATCCCCTGGAGCTGGAGTTTTAGGGTGTTGTGAGCCACCTGATATCGCTGCTGGGAACTGAAGAGAAAAGTTTTTTTCTTTGTTTGTTTGTTTGTTTTATGCTATAGAAATTGTTGTGCCCCTGCTCACAAGTCCAGTTTCAGTTGGACTTGTTTTAAGATAATGAGTAACACTGATACCATTTGCCCGGATGGGAGGTAGGCTCCGGCAGGGCAAGGGGCAGTGTCCTTTAGTGACAAGGTGCAGACCATGGGCTTATGCGTCAGCAGGTGAGTCCACAGTGCTGGGCTTTCAACAAACTCTAGTCTCCCAGTCGCGATAAAGACGGAGAAACTGAGGCTCTGAGAGGAAGACACAAACCCAGTATGATGGTTTGAATACTGATACCTCTAAATTCATTAGCTGGGAATAGTATTAAGAGTATTAACACTTTGGGGGAGGGGTTAAATCTGGGGACTCTATTTTTCGTGAAAAGGTTCTGTATGCTCCTTCCACTATGTTGTCCACCTTAAAGAGAGCTAATCGTTATCCCGGTGGGGTGACCCACACCTGTAATCCCAGCCCTTGGGGAGCCAGAAGCAGCTGGATCTCTGTGAGTTCGAAGTCAGACTGGTCTACAAAGAGAGTCTAGGATAGCCAAGGCTATGCAGAGAAACCCTGTTTCGAAAACAACAAAACATTTTTTTAAAGAGAGCTGCGCTAGACATGGAGTGCGCAGGAGCCTTGACCTTGGACTAACAATAAATTCTTATTCAAAAATTACATCTAAGGCACTTCTCTAACACAGTCCAAAGCGGGCTAAGATGTATGAGTAATTGAGAACCTAGTGCTCCTAGTGCAAGAAGGCCAACCTTTTCAATTGCCAGGGAGTGACGCTAGGGGCCTTAGCAAGCTGAGCACACCACCTTTGCAGCTCTCTGGCACCCGCCATATCTTTGGCTTGTAGGACGTTGGCTTGAAGACATTTTACTGTCAAATAAACCAGCCACGAGAGGACTAGGAGCCAGGCCCACTTGTTCCTCTTCTGCCTTCTCAGGGGAGGCCAGCCATTTTCTCAGGCTCTTTCCATGCTAGGCTCCAGTTGCCTGAACTCTTGGCAAGCAGGCTCAGGTCCACTCCCCTTTAGAAAGAAGGGCCAGGCTATGGGATCCGCCCAGTTGGAGGCGTGGCCACACTAGACTTAGCAGCGATCCCAGACACCCAGCCCCGGTCTTTTCAGAGTTTGTCCATTTACAGGACTTGGTTGCCGGAACTGGTTCCCGCCGCCTATATAATGGTCCTGGAGCTTTACCTGGATCTAATCTCACAGCCCTGTCGTGCCGTCTATATCTTTGCCAAGAAGAACGGCATCCCGTTCCAAATGCACTCGGTGGAGCTGCGCAAGGGTGGGCAGGGTCTGGGCTTTGGAGAGCTGAGGTATCCCGGAGGCAATCCGAGGGCTTAGGGGATCCCTTCCTGGGCTGTCCCCTTTCTAGGCTTTTTCTGGTTTAGAGACTGAGTGGGAAAGGAGCCACCAGGGAGATCCATGGTTTAGGACTCCCACAAACTCTGCTGTCCCGTGGAATAGACGGCCAGGACCTGCTGAAGAGCGGGTGCAGACCTGGCAATCTAAATAGGTGCAGTTTGGGCTTAGCTACAGGGACCTCCAGAAAGAGCAAGGAGAGCGAATGTGGAGATCCGGAGAGCCAACCCTCTCATTTCCCTCAGTGCTGAGATTGGCAGTGTCACTCAGAGCCTCCACGGCTGGCCCCTGGTCCCTTTGGTGCCTTTGCAACAAACAGGATCTCTCGGCCACCCTGGTCTGTTGGGAGTCCCTTCTGTCCTTCCCTTTCCTGCCTTCTGGTTTCATGCTCCTTCAGTGCTGTCTGCCTCTCTTGTGTGTGTTGGGGTAGAAGGCTGCCGGGGGGGTTGGGAGGGAGGTATGCTAGTAACTTGGAGGCTCCTTCCAGCTGCCCACTGAGGGAGCCCTGCTCCCTGGCAGAACAGGATTGGAGCAGAGTGAATGTGTCGCTTAAGGGGCTGTGGTCGTCCCCATCCTGTCTTACTGCTTGTTTCTCTATCTGAAACTTCACTTCTTTCTTCACAGTCACCTCTGGGGACAGCGGTCCTACCGCTGCCGAGTACGGTGTAGGAGGGGGGTGGGGGTAGGGCAGGAGACACTGACCTACGGGTTTTCAAGTTGGCTGTCAAAAATAAGGGTGCAGAGGGAGACAGGTTTCCACCAGGAAAAGAAGGGAGGGTGAGAATCCCCCATCCGCTCCAGGGCAATGGGAACCACTGAGGCCTGGGGGGCAGTGTGGCAAGGAGACAGTCTTAGAAACTTACCTGGGCTGCATCAAAGGAAAGAAAAACAACCCAGGCCAGTTCAGGCAGAGGCCAGGGTCCCAGGAGACATGCGGGGGGGGGGGGGGGGGGGGGACCAATTGGAGGGCGCCAGGCCCCCGGGGGCGGGCAAAAAAAAAAAAAAAAAAAAAAAAAAAAAAAGCGGTAAGTCTATTCTGCATCAAGGGCATGGGGCAGCCTCCTCTCCCTTCAGGACAGCCCTGCCTGCACACCCCATGTAGAGAGTAGCCAGGGTCCCAAGACCATGAATTTGGTGTTCAGCATCCTGGGACCTTGGCTCAGGCTATCAGAGAGGCCAATGTTCTTCTCCCACCGCCCTCATGCTGGACTGTCTACAGGTGAGCACCTCAGCGATGCATTTGCCCTGGTGAACCCCATGAAGAAGGTACCAGCCATGAAGGATAATGGCTTCGCCTTGAGCGAGAGGTAACCAGCCCTCGGGGCGTCTGCCAAGCCTTACTGGAAACCAGCCTGTTCTAACCCTCTGTGCTATAAACTAGGGAGCTGGCGCTGAGTAAGGGTGGGAATGGAAGGGTGGGGGCGGGGGGTGGGGGGTGGGTTGGCTCAGTGGTTAAGAGCACTTACTGCTTTTGCAGAGAACCTGGATTTGGTCCCAGCGATTACGCAAGGCGGCTCCCAACTACTTACATAACTCCAGTCCTAGACATTCACTGCCCTCTAGCACCTGTGGGCACAGAAACTCACATAGACACACAGATAAATGAGCTCCGAACCCAAACTCCCTAGAGCACTGGTTCTCAAACCTCCTCAGGCTGTGAATACGTTTCCTTGAATACAGCTCCTCATGTTGTGGTGACCCCCAACCGTAAAATGATTTTCGTTGCTACCTCATAACTGTAATCGTCTTACTGTTGTGATATGTAATGTAGATATCTTATATTTCCAAAGGTCTTAGGTAAACCCTGTGAAAGGGCTGTTCTAACCCCAAAGGGGTTGTAACCTACAAGTTGAGAACTTCTGCCCTAGAGGCGAAGGGCTGCTGTGCCCCATATCATACAGAGTTGGGGCTGCCTACCCACTGTCCAAGTTTATTGGGCTGGTTTTGGAAGATAATACATGACATGATTTCTATACTAGGCTGTGGTTGTCCATTGAAATAACCCTGGGGCAGACAAGGTGGCAAGCTTCCCTCACCATAGCCACCACCCTCTAGCCCAGCTGGTATCAAGAGGGCCCTCTGGCACCTGGCACCTGGACTTCCCAATGTCCCCTTTTCTAGGGTTACTGGGGCTCCCTTGGGTGAGTCTTCCCTGTGAAATAAAAATGTTTTATATCCCAGCAGGTCTCAAGAATGTGAAACGTCCCACTTCAGGGAAGCCAACCCTTTTCCTCAGTTCTGCCTCTTTTGTCACATAAGTCACCTGTCCCATAGCAAGGGGACTCTAGAGTTTATGCTTTCATGAGATCAATGGCATCTCATGATGGATGTAGCCCAACAAAGGCACCACCGTTCTTCCTTCCTGATGCCCCTGCTATCCCGGGGCTCTCTAGTTTGCAGAGAGTTGTGCCGTAACAAGTACCAGCCAGGGGCAGCTTGCAATCTTTGCATGTCCCCCTTGAATGTCATCTTCACCCTGGGGAGGTCTGTGGCTCTTGAGAGCCTGCAGCCCTTCTCAGCAGTGGCTTGGACACTTAGCTACAGTACAAAGTGTTTGTCCTACATGGAAAACTCAGGTATTCAGCTGGGCTGTGGGTGCAGGTCTCTGTCTGTTTCAGACACGGCCTTACTAGATGGCTTTGTCTGGTTAGCTTCTGCCTGACTGCCTGCCTCTTCCTCTTGGGTGCTGTGATTTTACATTGTTGTGTGACAAAACTTCTCCTTGGGAAATAAAAGGGCAGGGAATAAGACAAAGACAGAAGACAGGAGGAGGGAGAAGGAAAAAGAATGAGGAGGAGGGAGAAGGGGTATTTACCCCGGACAAAGGACTGCTTTTAGATAGAGAGGAGACCAACATGGCTATGTGCAAATGGCAGTTTATAAAGGGAAAAGGGGAAACCCCATGTTAGGATGAGCTGGTTTGTTTTGATTGTGCATCTTAATTAGGGCAACCAAAAGACAGCTTTTGATTGCTGAACTTCCAATACTTTGATAGCTGGACCTTGGCAGTCAGCCTCAGGAGGAGGAAGTGGCCAAATAAGGGAACAGCTCTTTGTGGCTAGCTTTAGGAATGATATATGATAGTTTAACAAGGAAGAGGGAAGGAGGAAAGGGCAAGGCCTGCCAGAGCTATATTTACCATACTCTAGCCTACTAGAAGCCTTCACAGCACCCCAGGTAAGATTTTAAAGATCCAAGCTGACCCCTAGCAGGAGTGACATAAGGAACAGACAGGCAGATACGTGGCTTTACCTGCAACCCCAGCCCTCCAGAGGCCGAAGCAAGAGGAGTATGGATTTGAAGCTAGGCAAGGCTGTCTCAAAGAACAAAGGGAGAATTGGGAAAGCCTTTTCTGAAGCTGTCTGAATGCCAATGAGTTAAGAGTGGATGTAGAATGAAAACAAACAAACAATCAAACGAACAAAAACAACCCAAGCTTCCCCAAAGCTCAGCTTGGATGCCCAGCTCCAGGAAGTTGTCCAGCCCTTATACTCAGAAACTCAACACTGGACAGGACACTCAGTGCTGAGTTTGCCTGGTGGCAGGATAGCCTTGGGTGTTGACCTCAGGAAGACAAAACTCAGTTCTGACACCAAGAGCTGTGTGCCCCTGGGGACAAGGCTCTTCCCTTCTCTGAGCCTACTTTCCATGTCCTGAAAAAGAGGCTCAGGCTGGCAAATTGTCAGAAAGATCAGGAAAGGAAGGGGCTGGAGAGATAGCTCCGTGGTTAAGAGCACTGGCTGTTCTTCCGGAGGTCCTGAGTTCAGTTCCCACCAAACCGCATGGCTGCTCACAATTATCTAGGAGAACTGATGCCCTCTCAGGCATAAATGCAGACAGAGCACTCGTAGACATAAAATATATACATACATACATAAATAGATTTTTTTTAAAAGGAAAAGATAAGGTTGTAGAAGGTACTGGGTATTGAGTCAACTCAGGGATCTTTGATTACCTGCCTTGCCCTCATGCTTACAGTGTGGCCATCCTGCTCTACCTGACCCACAAGTATAAGGTTCCTGACCACTGGTACCCCCAAGATCTGCAGGCCCGTGCTCGTGTGGATGAGTACCTAGCATGGCAACACACAGCCCTTCGGAGAAGCTGCATCCGGGCCCTGTGGCATAAGGTGAGACTGGAAATGTGGGGGAAGGGAGGGAGTGAAGATATCACCCCAAAGAGACTCAGTTCACAGCGGACTATTTTCAGCTGGGCATTTTCCAGTGTTCTCATCTTTAACCTAAGTAATCCTGTCATGCCCAGATTGTTGTTCAAGATGGTATCTATTTGAGGCATGTATTTTCTTTATTTGTAGAAATACCACCTGGTTGTTTCTGTAGAATTTGCATTTCTCAGCCAAAACTTACCATCTATCAGGTACTTTGGTCATCTTCTACTTGAAAAAATATATTTGTTACCGTTACTGAATTTGTTAACTGTGTGTGTATACACACACACACACACACACACACACACATATATGGATGTGAAAGCCAGAGGACAGCTCTGGGAAATCAGTTCTCACTTTCTATCTTTTGTTTCTGCTGCTGTGCTGTGTACTCCAGGCCATCTGACCTTCTGTCTCAGGCCATTCTCCTGCCTCTGCCCCCCACCGCACTGTAGGAAAGCTGGGATCATATCACACCTGGCTTCTTATGAGGGTCCTGGGGGTTGAACCGAGGTGGTCAGGTTTGTCAGGCTTGCCCAGCTGGAACTTTCACCTTCTGAGCTATCTCCCCATTTCCGTTACTTACATGTCCTCTTCAGCATGGCTGGTGATGTATCTTAGTGGTAGGGCACGTGTGTAACAAGCATGGTGTTCTAGGTGTGAGTCTCAACACCTGGTGTGTGTGTGTGTCCGTCCTCTGTCAGCTCATTCCAGCACCCAGGTCTTCTGAGGATATGTTTCTATTGGTTGTTTTCTTTTCTGCTCTTGATTATGGTTCGCATTTTCCTCCCACCTCACGCGTTTCATAAGTTATTATGACATATATTGTGTGTTAGTACAGCTAAAATAATACAAAAGAATCTTAAAAAAAAAAAAGTCAAAGAACTTCTATACCTTAAAGGTAGGATTGGGTCACCAACTCTCTCCCGCAGGTCTTTGGAATCTAAGCATAGAAAAGTGGACTGGTGATTGTCAGGGGTGAAAAGAAGGAGTTAGGAGAACAGCACCCCAAAGGGTTCAGACAACATCAAGATCTTCTTTTCAGTTTTGGTATTTTCCACTCTTAGCTTTGACCTCATTGGTTTTTGGTTCTTTGTTTGTTTGTTTTAATTGTGTCTGGGTTAGTCTTAAACTCATTTAATAATCCTTTGGGTTTTTTTTAGACATGTATTTTTTATTTTTAGAAGTTCCATGTATTTAAACACAAAATCTGGAACCCTTTCACAGGGGATTTTCAACAGATATCTTAGTGAGAGTTCTCAAGCAAGCCTGGGGAAGAGGAGAGTTAGAGTGTGCTGGATACAGGATGGAGATGGATAGTAGTGATGGCTACACAATGTGAATATACTTAGCTTTGTATACTACACTGAGTACTTTGAAATACATGCTGTAAGACATGGGAGTCGGTGGTGTCAAAGTCAAACAAAATGGACTTGTCAGAGGCTATGAAAGAGGAGCCTTCATGAGTTGGGTATAGTGGTGGAAGCCTGTAATCCCAGTATTCGGGTCTGAGGCAAAAGGATGGTTGTGAGCTTGAGTTCAGTCTGTGCACCAGATAACTCTTCTTTCTTCTTCATCTCCTCCTCCTCTTCCATCTCCTCTCCCCTTCCCCTTCCCCTCTTTCCTTATTTATGTTCTCACCCTGAGCTATATTATCCTCAGTGCTTGGCTTTTGGAGACAGTTTTACTCTGAACTCTATGTAGCCCAGGCTAGCCAGGGAAATGTGACCCACAATCAAGAGCAGAAAAGCAGGAGCCCAGGAAGCCTCTTGCTTCCCAGGTCTTAGGATTCCATCTCAATCCTGCCTAGTGCCTACATTATCCTCTCTTGTAACTGTCTTAAGCCTGCGACCCTCTTTCCTCTCTCCTTCGAGGAGCTATGATGCCAAATGGTCTGACTTTATCAGATCACTTTTGTCCCTGCAGGACTGACAGGAAGCCAGTGTTGACTATCTTGTGCCAGTTACCCTATCGACCATGGCTTTAAAGCAATCCCTTTTGCTTTAGCAATCCAAGCATGAGAGGCAGTGCCAGTTTCCCTCTCAGCCTGGCATATATATATGTATGGTACACAGACATACACGTGACAAAACAGTCATATACATAAAGTAATAATAAAATCTCAAAAAATGTAGAGAGAATATGAGCTGAGCACTCTCATCACTCTGCGTGTACACCTGCAAGCCAGACGAGGGAACCAGACCCATCACTCTCAATGTGGACACAGTGTGACTGGCTCCCTCAGGCTCCTGCTGCCATGACTTCCCCATCATGACTGTTGTACCCAGGAACTGTGAGCCTTTCTCCCTTAAGTTGCTTTATTAGAATGTTCTATCACAGCCCCAAGAAAAGCCAGACAGATGCTTTTTAGCTGCTTGTGGCTTTGGCTATTGAGTGACTTGCTGTCAAGTGACCTGGACCAGTCATTCTTTAGTGACGGGGTTCTAAGTGGGAGGTAGCCAGGAGATGAGAAGGTAAAGAAGATAGAAAGGAAAGCTGGGGTCACAAGGTATGTCTTATGTCAAGCAAGCTTATTAAAGAAGGACAGCATCTTATAAAGTATTTACAGGGGAGAAATAGAACAGAGTCAGCAGAAACTATCATACAATGAGACAAAGTCTGCAGGAGGCTAATCAAACAGTGTTGCATAAAGGGAACACAGGGTTTCTCTAGAGTACGACAGACTGAGCACATAGTGGCCTTCGGACTGATAACTCCAGTCTTTTCATGGAGAAAAGCCAGCTTCCCAGGAACTGAATCCTTAACTCCTCTGGGCCTTTTAGCCACAGGAAGACTGTGAGATGAATATAACCTGGACTACGTAGTATGATCCTCCCAAAAAAAAAAAAAAGAAAGAGGAGGGGAGAGAATCTCAGGACAATTACTAAAGATGCCAAAAATTGGGCATCAGAAGCTAAAAATAGTTATTTTTCTGGTAGTAAAAAGGGACTCTGGTTTGGAGCTGGGTGTAGTGGTACATGCCTGACCAAGCTCTCGGGAGGTAGAGGCAGAGGCAGAGGCAAACACAGAAGGATCTGAAGTTCAAGAGTCAAGCTCAGCTATGTATATATATCTCCTGGGAACCACGAGGCTCTGTCTCAAAAACAAAGCCAAAACTCTGGTTTGGGTCAAATTAAATATGTCCCCCAAGACCCCATGGAATTTCAGTTGTTAGCTACTGTGTATGACTTGAGCCATTAAGCTACTGGGGGAAAAATCAATTTTATAGGATAATACTAGTGGGGCAATATCAATAAGGCTACTAAAATTTCTTACCTAGCTTGTTCCATCTGTCCAAAGTTCAGTCCTGGAACTTATGTGACCAACCACCTGGCCTTTTTTTTTTTTTTTTTTTTTTTTTTTACCTGTGCACAAAGTAATGGATTTCATGATGGCGTTTTCATACCTACTTGTTCTCACTCATCCCTTCTCCCACTACTCTGACTTGCCTTCCTTCTCTGCCCTTGCTGATCCTCTATCCCCTTTCTTAAACTTACATTTTAATTTATTTATTGTGTTTAAAGAATTTACTGTGTGTTTTTGGTTGCCTGTGTGAATGTCTGTGCATGGAAGGGTAATGGTGCACATATAGAGGTCAGAGGACAGCCTTTTGGAGTTGGCTTTCTCCTCCTACCACCTAGGTCATAGGGATTGAAGTCAGGTCATCAGGCTTGGCAGCACGTGCCTTTACCTGCTGAGGCAGCTCACCATCCCCTAGTCCCCGCCCCTCCCTCCTATTTTTGCTTTCTTGCCACATATATCCTATTCCTCTGTTTTTTTTTTTTTTTCTTACTCTCTTACTCCTGTTTCCTTAAGATCTTTTCTGTCATGGCTCTCTTTCTAGCTGTGTATGTTTGTTTCTGGATCTTCTATTTTACTACATTGGCGAAATGCCTGCTTTTGTGCCAGTACCATGGTGGGTTTGTTACCATAGCTCTTTAGGTTCTTTTAAGACCAGGTACTGCAATACCTTGAGTATTGCTCTTCTGTTGGGATTGCTTCCGTTAGGGTCTTTTGTGCTTCCGTATGAACTTTTGTTTACTGTGTCCCTTGGTTGTGAGAGAAGGCTGTCTGAGTGACTGACCTACCTCATTTATGTTGTTAAAGCATGTGAAATTTGTAAGGCAAAGGAATCACTTTACTCTCAACAGTGAGTGGCACATGACCACGGTTCCTAACCTAACTTCTTTTCTCAAAAATATCAGATTTATTTATTTTTTCAGTCACTAATAAAGGATCATTCTTTCTGAGACCCAGACAACCAGAAATGGTGAAAACAAGACTATTTATTTGTAGACAAAAATGTCACTTGGGAATCTCCCTGCAGGTCCTGGCAGGCCACAAAAGGAAGAGGCATAGAACTAAAACATGACTTTTCACCCCAAAAGGCTTAGCTGGCTCCAATTCCTTGTCTTGTCTGTCTACCCACCAGGTGATGTTCCCTGTGTTCCTGGGTGAGCAAGTGCCTTCTGAGAGGCTGGCAGCCACATTGGCAGAGTTGGATGTCAACCTGAAGGTGCTTGAAGACAAGTTCCTCCAGGACAAGGCCTTCCTTGTTGGGCCCCACATCTCCCTGGCTGACTTGGTAGCCATCACAGAGCTGATGCAAGTAAGTGCTCTGAGAAGTGTGGTCCCATAAGGCACTGGGAGGTCAGGCTGGTTACAGAAGCCCTGTCTTGTTTTTTTTTTTTGCTGCCCCCACTAGTTGTAGATCTGTGCATCTTTGTGGAGACTCCTTTCCGATTTAGAATGTCTGTCCTTGCCTTCATTGGGTGGGAAAGAGTTCATTTGGCTTAACTGGTTACATTCCATCATGGAGGGAAGCCAGGAAGATGCTTGAGGCAGGAGCTTGAAAGTAGATATCACAGAAAAATGTCACTTCCTGGCGTGTTCCCCCTGGTTACAGGTCAGGCCCATCACCCAGGCCATCAACCAGGGATAGCATCATGTACTGTGACCTGAGTCCTCCTGCATCAATTAGTAGTCGAGGAAACCCCCGCCCCCCCCCCCAGACATGTCCACAGGCCAATCTGATAGTGACAGTTTCTCAAAGGAAACTCTCTCTTCCTAGGTGTTTCTAAGTTTGTGTGAAGTGGGGGAGGGGGAGGGAATAACCAGCACAATGAACTCCTTGTAGTCCTGACACAGGAGCACATCACTGCTAAACCGTAGTCTTTTGTTTCTTTGTCTCTAAGATCTCGGGTTAGTATTACAAAACCCAGTACAATTATAAACATCTCGTGGTCCTTTAAAAAGCCCAGATGATTTAAAAGTACAAGTTCTCTTTAAAAATCCAAAGCCTCTTAACTGAGGGATTTTGTAAAAAAAAAAAAAAAATTCGTAATTTCTTGCTCCCCAGGGGAAGAACCAGGGTATGTTTACAATTACATTAAAGCAAAACAAAAGTCCTACCCATGAAATGTTCAGTATCTGACATCCATGATTCACTTGTGATCTATTGGGCAACCACTGTCCTTGGCAGTCACCCCATAGTCTTGGCATCTCTACTAAAAGTCCAGTCTGTACCTTTACCAATGGCCTCTTCTGCTTTCATGAAGTGCCAAGTCTCAGTTGCCTTCAAAACCAGTACCATTATTATTATTATTTGTTTTTCGAGGCAGGGTTTCTCTGTGTAGCCTTGGCTGTCCTGGACTTGCTTTGTAGACCACGCTGGCCCCAAACTCATAGTGATCCTCCCTGCCTCTGCCTCCCCAGTGCTGGAATTAAAGGTGTGCACTGCCATGCCCAGCCATCACATTTTATTTTTATACACTGTTTGCCAAATTCTGCTGCCAGCTTGATCTACAGCCTCGGCCTACCCCACTCCTGGACCACGGCGTCTATGTATTGACCCCGAGGAAAATGTCTTCCCAGAAGACATTACCTCAGTGATGCTGGACTTATAAACTACAGTCCTTGATAACGAGCATCCATTGTCCCAATGAAGCCCATAATGTCTCACTTCCTTAGATTATTAACATATCACACTAGTGGCCCTGATAGAGTCTGTGAGGAACTCGCAAACTTTCCTTTGAAACTTTACTAACCAAGTCTCCATAATCTGCATTTCTCTCAACACTTGCATATTGCAAGCTACCATAGAACAGATCATTAATCTCTGACCACTCAGTGACTTTTCAGGCCAAAAGCTCTACATGCTTTCACAACCTTTCTTCCCCAAACAACATGGTCAGGTCGGTTACAGCAACTAGTCACAATGTTGAGCAATGAAAAGGAAGCAGGAAGAGTCCTTTACAGCAACCCTTCACTTCTGGCACCAATTTTTATTCTAGTTTGCTTTTCCATTGCTGTGATAAGTATCATGGTTAAAAACAATCTGGGGAGGAAGTAATTTATTTCAGTTTATAGGCTATGGTCTCATGAAGGAAAACCAGGGTAGGAACTCAAGGCAGGAACTTAGTGGCAGAGGCTGAAGCGGGGACATCAACGGAAGACTTGCTTCCTGGCTGTTCCCAGGCTCACATTCAGACATTTTTCTTATATAGTCTAAGACCACCTTCCCAGAGGTAGCACCACCCACATCACATGAGTCAACAATAGAAGAAAAATGTTAGGCAGACATTCCTACAAGCCAGTCTCCTAGAGGCAACTCCTCAGTTGACGTCTCTCTTTCCATATGTGTCCAGTTAACAACAAAAATTAGCCATAAATTTACCCACCCCCATCCTGTTCCCTTCTTGATATAGCCTGTAGGTGGTGGATGTGCAGTCTTCGAAGGGCACCCCAGGTTGGCTGCGTGGTACCAGCGAGTGGAGGCAGCAGTGGGGGAGGACCTCTTCCGGGAGGCCCATGAGGTCATCCTGAAGGTGAAGGATTCTCCACCTGCCAACCCCATCATAAAGCAGAAGCTCATGCCCAGAGTGCTGACCCTGATCCAGTGAATCCAGAAGCTTCATCCCTTCAGCATTAAAGGCAATTCACAAAGCACCTGCATTTCACTAGGGATCCAACCTGGCCTCACCACATGCTGTTTCTCAGGCCAGGTTCCATCTTCACTCTTTATCCGTGATAGCCACACATGACCACAACTATTATCCTTACCTTTTGATTTGAGTTTGGGTAATAAACCTAGGCTCGATTGGAGCCTTAGTGTCTCTGTGTTGTTTATTTGACCTCTGTTCTGGCTTAACTGTCTTTTCTAAAAGACAACTCTATTTCCCAGGCTTTGGCGATCATTTTCCCTCTAACGGTGGTGTTGTAAGTGACTATTAATATTTACTATTGATCTATCTTTTATTAAAGCTGCTGATATTCCTAAACAGCTGTATAACCAAATCACCACACAGAGACTATGATTTATTTAATTAACCTAGAACACAATGCTGGGCAATGGTTACTCCATCTTAAACCTCCAAGCCCTCATAGTTTCCTAACATTTAGATTTCCCACATTATACTTGCTTTTAGTGATATATTAGGTCCAGTCCATCTCTCCACATCGTTCCAAGATCTCTCTCTCAGCTCTGCTCTCCCAGCTCCCTCCTGCCCTTCTCTCCTCTGCCTCCCACCTTCCTGTCCTCTGGCTCCTCCCTCTTTTCCTGCTTCCTTTTCATTGCTCAACATTGTGACTAGTTGCTTTATTTTGGCATGTTTACACAAAGTTGAGACTGGTGATGCTTAGAATAAGTATCACAATGCAATGTCCGGATTGAAACCAGAGAGTGGGGGAGAGAAATCAGCATTTGAATGAACAAGGGTAAAGTGTATACATTGTAAAAGAACATTATACCAACACGGTGGCCACCAAGAAATCATAGCTAGGCATGGAAGTTCATGCATGTAATCCAGCATTAAGTAGAATGAAGCAAGAGGACCACTGAGAAGTTAAGGCCAGCCTGGGAGACGCTATGAGACTATCTCAACAACAAAACAGCAATAAAAACAAACGGAGCAAGCATTGGAGAATGGGATCAGCAGGTGCCGCTGCTGCAGGCATAAAAATCCATCACTTGCCAGGACAGCCTCGTGGACAAGCCCCTTGATAGACTCAGTTAACCCTTCCTGACCTACAGACTCGGTCAAGAGGAGAAAATAGCCACAACAGCTCTCCTGGTCAGAGATCATGCTCAAAGTCTTGGGTACAAATTAACAGGAATAAAGGGCTTGGACTCTGTTCTGGTAAGGGAGTGGACTAGAAGGAAGCTGAGAGACTGGGTGTTTCTGTAGTTGGGGGAGGGGGCAGACAAGGGTGACTTGTGGAGAACTGTTAAGGGCCAAAGGGGAAAGGTGGGGAAATGGAGAAGGGGTCTCATCTCCTCAGACTAGAGAGGTCAGCTGCCGGGGCCAGCCGGGCAGAGTCGAACGGTTCTTGAGTTGGGAGTGAGGATTAAAATTAATAAAATGAACACACAGCACACAGGAAATTTTTTAAAGGTCCAGACTCGACAGCCATGGCAAAAGGCAGGCTGCTGCAGCAAGCAGTGCCAGCAGCAAGTCTCAAGTCTCTGCCTGCCTCCTCTGCCTCCAGCCTTCTGACCACTTTATTTTGTGAGGAGTTACTTTTTTTTCAGTAAAACATCTCAGAACAATAGGTCAATTTGCACAAGGAGCTAGAGGAAGAGGTGTGACCCTCACAAGCTATCCCACCTGCTGTCACAAACAAAAGGAGATGGACTTGCAAGTTCTCTGCCATTAGTAAAGGCCTGCTAAAAGCCATCTCTCCGCCGAAATTTAAATATCAAAGCCTGACGCTTGGAGTCAGGGCTCCCGACAGTCAGCTCCCACTAGGACAAAAAGACACTAAACAGGAGTATCCCTTAAAGAGGAACATTTGGGACCAGGAAGACAAAGCTATTCTCAAGTTTCCCAACGACTTATAGTTGTGCCAAGGCCCATTTTTTTAATTTGTCATTTGGAGGGTTGGGGGAGGTCCTCTTGGGAAACCTGACACTGAAGGCTCTTTGCACTGGGTGGAGACGTTTTATCAAATCCCTGGCATACCTACAAATCTTCCCTTCCTCTGGCTTCTAGAAGAGGATTGACTGGGGTGGAATAAATAAAAATGGGGAGGGCCAGCTCATGTCTTCACAGGGCATGGGCCTAACCTTTGCACACTTGGCCAAATATCAGCTCCAACTTGAGTCCTGGGCCCAAGGAACTGGCTGAGGAGGAAGCTGCATTTCCGGCTTCCTTTTCTGAGGCAAGGGTCTCAGGAAAGGAAGGAAAGTGAACCGAAGGCAGGCAGCACAGCTTTTCTGCCCCTAAATTCACTGATGGAAACGCCCTTCTGGTCCCCTTTTCCATTAGGATGTTCCCATCATTTGACTGAAGCCTGGAAGTACAGGGAGGAGTTTTTCTCCATAGCAGGACCCGTAGTTCAGGTTGCTCTGTCGCCGATTGGTCCAAAGGTCTCATGAGCATCCAATGGGAGGAAAGATTGTGATCGGGCTCCGGTTTAGGCTAAGAAGCACTGAGGCCAGGGACACAGCCGTTCCTGCTCACCGTTGCAGTCTGTCACCTGAGGCAGTTTTCCCCGTCTCAGAGGTCTGCCAACGGCCACTCTCACGCCATGACCCTGGAGCTCTACCTGGACCTGATGTCCCAGCCCTGCCGCGCTGTCTACATCTTCGCCAAGAAGAACGGCATCCCCTTCCAGCTGCGTACCATAGAGTTGCTTAAAGGTGGGCTCAGTTGGCGGGCTGGGAAGTCTGCAGCCTGTGTATGGTGCACCAGCCCCCCACCCCCCATCCACTGCACACTGAGCAGGTGTGGTCAGGCCAGGTGTGCAAACTGGAGACGAAACGCCAGCCTCTCCCTTGAGGAAGCGGTTGTATCAGTTGTCAACTGTAGAGTTTTAAAGAACCTTCCAAATACCAGATGCAAAGGCGCAGGGGAAGCTCTGGTTCAGAGGAGGGGAGGCAGGGCTTGAAAATCGCACCTCTTGGCATTGGGAGGAGAAAAAAAAAAAAAAAAGTTGAACTAACTCATTTCTTAAGGGGGGCGGGGAGGGAATCCCCATCTTGTATTTTTGCACTCTGGGGTAGGAAAGGGTTGTTTTATTTTGGGGGTGTGTGGTCTTCCACTGAGGACTCTTGCTTGCCTTTACGCAGCAGAGCCAAGTACCTTCCAGCGTCCAGGCTTGCTTGCCGTTCTTTTGCATGGGCCGGTGCGTGTGCGTGTGTGTGTGTGTGTGTGTGTGTGTGTGTGTGTGTGCGTGCGCGCGCGCGCGCGCCCGCGCGCGTATGCGTGTTTACTGGCCCGCCACCACAGAGCTGTACTCCCAGCCCTCTTTCTGCTTGTCATTTGGAGGCAGAGTTGCTGTGTTGTCCAGCTGTTGTTCTCTTACTGCAGAAAATCAATGAGCTGTTTGTGATCCATCTGACTGAGTTCCCCAAGTAGCTGGAATTATAGGCCTGCACCACACCCCACCTTCCTTTCTATGGAGGTTTCCAGTCACTGCTCTGTGAAAGGGCAGTGGGAGAGGCCATCACTCTCACTTGAGCTGGAATGTTCTGGTTAGCCTGAAAAAAAAAAAAGAGAGAGAGAGATAAAACTAGACACTGGTGCTGATTCCAGTGGCGTTGGAGCTACAGCTGGACACGAGCCAAGGCCAAGCTGAGAATCTAGAACATCCTATTCAGCCAATTCCTCCCACTGGCTGTCTTTGGTACTTCCAACTTGGGCCACAGGACAGGGGCTGCATGGAGATGGGACAGAGGTGATGGCGTCCATTCAGTGGAAGGAAAGAGGTGGATCTAGAACCTGGCTTCACCACACACCCTTTGACCCCACTAATGGCCGACCTGGCACTGTCAGATCTGGCTTAGGCACGGGGTTTGGGAGAGAGGCAGTGAGTTGGACCTGGGAGCCCCAGGTGAGGAGGGAGCTCTGAGGGCTTGGCACAGAAGAGGAAGAGGCGTTGAGCTGCTAGAGACCAAGTGGCTGAGCAGGACACTTGTTCCTGGCAAGAGCCATGTTGAGCTGAGAATCGAGACTAGGGAGGGCTGGTGTTCTGGGTGGGGGTTACGCAGGTCCCCTAGCCGGCTCAGAAGAACCCACTGAGCTCTTGTCTGTGATAGAAGGATGGGCCAGACAGAGCCTGGGAATGTGAGCCTGGGTGTCTGCATTAGAATGACCGGGGGCTATTACTATACAGAACCACCCCTTTCCCAGACCCAAGTGGACACTCTGTCTGACCCAGGCTTCACAGAGTTGAAGGCAAATGAGTTTATAATCTTTATCTGTGTTCTCCTGGCCACTGTGGTGGCTTCCTCTTTACTGAGGCCTTGTGGAAAACTGGTGCCTAAATTTAGGGAAGGGGGCGGGCAGACCCTGAGGAGCCCCGGGGTCCTCATCTGTGATTTCCCTGGTCTCTCTGCAGGCGAGCACTACTCCGACGACTTCGCCCAGGTGAACCCCCTGAGGAAGGTGCCAGCTTTGAAGGATGGGGACTTCATCTTGGCAGAGAGGTAATGCATTCCTGGCTTGCAACCAAGCTGTGTGGGGCAGGCCACCTGTCTGGGCCCGTTGCCAACAACTTGGACCGTGGCTTCTGCATCCACCCCAGGGTAGATGGTTAATTTGTACCTGGTGTTGAGATGGGGCTTTTGAAGACGTGTTATGCCTCCTTCCTTCCCCCCAGCATTTTACAGAGGCAGAAACTGAGGCTGGGGTATGGGAGAGGGAGCCTGGTCTTCTTCTAGGCCCCTTCCCTGCTAGGCCAGCCCTCAGGAGGAAGGACAGTGCCAAAGAGAGGGAAGCCATACCAGGCCCTCTAAGCACCACATCTACCACAGAGCCTGGGAAGAGCTGTTTCTCTTAAGGCCAAAGGATCACCCATTGAATTCAGTTGCCATCTGCTGAGCACCCATCAGCACCAGGTTACTGTCTGTCCTTGGAGCTTGAGCAGGACAGAATCTGGGTCCCCATGAGACTCACATTTTTTTTGGGGGGGGTGACAGTTACATGACAGGCAGAGAGCACAGTAGAAAAGAGACAGGCTCAGGGTGTGGCTTCAAGTGAGAGATAAGATAGAAGCCTGCTGCAGAGGTGCTAAGCAAGCAGGAACTTCCTGTACTGATATGCCAAGTGTGCAGGAAGCCTGTTCTAGCTGGAAGGACAAGGGTAAAGGCCATGACATTAGACCGTGTGTGGGGACACAGGCTGCAGAGCTGAGGCCAGCACTACGGGGGTGAAGGAGGCAAGCACAGCATCGAGAGGAGGCTAGTGGGGATGGGGAAGGGCTCTGACCTTTCCTGTAGGCAGTAAGGGCTTCTGGAAAGTCTGAGCCAAGGCCAGCTCCCATCCCCCTTGTGTTTGAAAGGGTCCCCAGGCTGGGTAGGAAATCCATGTGGAAATTCAGGTAAAGACCCCCTGGTCCTAGACCAAGGCGGCTGAAGAATGACCAGGGCATGCCCTCCTTCCCCCTGCATCCCTCCAGTGTGGCCATCTTGCTCTATCTGAGTAGAAAATACAATGCCCCTGACCACTGGTACCCTCAGGACCTACAGGCTCGAGCTCGTGTAGACGAGTACCTGTCTTGGCAGCATACAGCCCTGCGGAGTTGTTGCACCAGAGCCATGTGGCAGAAGGTGAGCTGTGGGGACAGAGGGCAGGGTCACTTCCCAGGGTGCCGCTAGGGATGGTGCTCCCTGATTGCAAAGACCCCAAAGACCACCAGGAGACCTGGGGCTCCCCACCGTCCGACAGCTGCAAAGCTGGGTTTTTATTATGGTTTGAGCAAGGGACAGGGCTTTCAGTTCTGTGATTGGTTCACGTTTAGCAGAAGCAAGCTTGCCATAAACTGATTGGCTGGTGCTGATCTAGGGATGGGGGGTGGGGACTTCATGGAGTGTCCAAGGAACAAGGTGTGCTCAGGGAACAGAGTGCTAACAGAAAGTGCCAGGTACCAATAGCATTCTCACTAAGCAAAGGCTTTTAACTAACCTTTAGTTTGATTGATCAAGTGCTAGGGGACTTTTCAAGGCAGTTACTAGATTATAGTTTCTGATTTTCATGAAGGTTATTGAGTTATTGTATCTCATTTCCATGGACTATAGCTTCATGTTCTGAGAAATAGAAACAGGATCTAAACAGCTGTGGGAACGTTGCCAGGAAGCAGAAACCCAGGCCTACAGTATCTTATAAAGCCCGTCATGGCAGCACAGCTGCGGCAGCGCAGCTGCTTGAGCCCTTCAGCCTCAGTGGGTGTAAAGGCACTTCTCACCAGGCCCGACAACCTGAGTTCAATCCCTGTGAGCCAGGCGGTAGAAGGAGAGGGCCGATTCCTGCAGGCTGTCTTCTGACCTTCACAGGCATGCTGTGCTGAGAGAGGGCGCGCACACGCGTGTATGGGAGCTTGCGTGCACTCGTTTACACATAGTGCTCACTCATTCACACACACAGTGTGCGTTCGTCCACACAAATAATACCAGTGTGTGCTTGTTTGCACAAACAGAAAGAAAGAAAGAAAGAAAGAAAGAAAGAAAGAAAAGGTTTTGATGAAAAGTCCTGTGTCCAGCTTCTCAACTTGGAGATCTTAGAATTCCAGCACAAGAATGTCCTCATTTCACACTGGCGTCCGTCCTGGGTACTGGCTTCAGCTCAGTAACTCCTTCAGTTGTGGATCAACCACCATGCTTCTCTTGAGCAAACGTGGATCCAGAGTGGGGATGGGATGGCAGCCACCACAATGGCAAGGGTTTTGTGTTGAGGTCTTGGTCTTAAGGGCAATGGAGAGCTATGGATGATTTTATGCGGGAAGAGAGCAGGGAAGGAGCTTAAGAACTGGGATGGGTGGGTGGAGAAGAGTGGGACCAAAGGTGAGTGTTGGCTGGAGGCAGACCTCCTTTTTTGCTGGCTTGTCAGATGATGTTTCCCAGGTTTCTGGGGCAGCCAGTACCCCCTGAGATGTTGGCCTCCACTTTGGCAGAACTGGATGGGTGCCTGCAGGTGCTGGAGGACAAATTCCTGAGGGATCAGGCCTTCCTCACAGGATCCCATATCTCTGTGGCGGACTTGGTGGCCATCACAGAGCTCATGCATGTGAGTGCCCTGGAGTGGGGAGTGGGGGGGGGGGGCTGCTGAATGCTGGAGGCTCCTGGGAGGGCATGGGGATCCTCCTTGCTCATGCTAGCATTTCTGGCACTGGGGCCTACATAAGTCACTTCTCCCTCAGAGCGTTAGTCTTCATCTATAAGGTGAATTTTAAAACGCTTCATTAATATCTATTAATTGCACAGAATAATGGGTTTCACCATGACACTTTCACACTGTCATAAGAAAGTGCAAAACATGTACATAATGTATTTTGATCTCTCTTCTGCTAGCTTCCATTCTACTATCATCTGCGTGTGTGTGTGTGTGTGTGTGTGTGTGTGTGTGTGTGTGTTCCAGAGCTCTCTGGAGGATGGGTGAGGATTTGTTTATAGGAGCATGGGCACCTTACCAAGTAGCCACTGAAGAAAACGTTTCCCTCTCCGAACAACCATTATCCTCAGAGCAGATAATGAGACACCAAGTATCCCCCACCCCTCCATGACAGGACGCTAATGGGCCCAATAATATGCAGAGCTTGCCTGGAAGTCAGCATTTCACACGACTCCCTTCTCTTTTCTTCAGGCTTTTTTATTCTTTCCACTTTTCCCCAAGTATTTCCTAAGCCTTGGCAGGGGTGACATAAAACGCCTGATTTATGACCGAGCACTTGACGGTTGCTTATTCTGAAAGCAGCACCATAAACGCCTGCTGTGGGCTTATTGAGGGCCACCTCACTCATGGTTAGGGGACAATGTAGTGGGGGTGGGGGATACTGATGCAGGCCATGCTTAATCCCTCTACCTGGCTCCCTCTCCCCACAGCCTGTCAGTGCCGGCTGCAAAGTCTTCGAGGGCCGACCGAAACTGGCTGCGTGGCGTCAGCGTGTGGAAGAGGCAGTCGGGGAGAGCCTCTTTCAGGAGGCCCACGAGGTGATCCTGAAGGCCAAAGATATTCCTCCTTTGAAGGACCCGACCTTGAAGGAGAAGCTGAAGCTCTCGGTGCAGAGCCTGTTGTACTGAGGGAACAGCCTGGAGGATGAAACCATCAAGGGAACCCCTGGGTGGTGGCCGTCTCTGCAGCTGTCACTAGGACATGGAGTCTCTGGTCCACAAGTTCCTCTAGGCACCAGCAGGGTCCCTTCTGTGTGCCCACCCCACATCCCATCCCATTAGCTCTCACATCAGCCCTTACCTGACTTCCTGAAGGAGCTACAGGAAAACACCAGGGAAACACTTACCTGGCCACATTCCTTTTCTTTTGAAACTTTTACACACTGCTGAGCCTTGTGCCACCCCCTCTCCTGCTCTCACACTGACCCCTGTGCCCTTGTGTTTTTTTTACCCAGTGTCCTTCGTGTGTGTGTCTGTGTACACCATATGACCCCTCAGTTCTGGCAGGCAGGATCCGTGATCCTTGCATTGGGCACATGTCACAGATGGGGACATAGTGAAAGGCCTTTGTCCTCTGATGGTTCTCTTTCCTTGGGGATGATGCTGCTTGCCATAGGTGGGGTACAGGGCTGGGTTCATGATGGTCCTTGCAGGGGTGGAAATTTCTGGATATGTCCTGATTTCCCAAATTCTTGCTCCAAGCCTTCTAACCCTGATTACTGTCTTCTGCATGTCCGTGTTTCCTAATTGTCAAGCTACTTTATCTGTGCCACAGGACTTCTCTTATGCTCATTACTTAATAAATAAACTGTTAACAGAACAAGAGTGATTGTTGAGTCTCTCAGGCCATTTGCTTCCCTCTTCTTTAGTATGCACGCTTAGAATTTCCTATGTGTAGTTGGACAAATTGCATAGTGGTTGTTGTTTTGTTTGGGACAGAGTTTCTCTGTGTAGCCTTGCTGTCCTAGAACTCAGTCTGTACACCAGGCTAGCCTCGAATTCAAGAGTTCTGCCTGCCTCTGCCTCCAGAGTGTTGGGATTAAAGGTTTGTGCCACAACCGCTAGGTCAGATTGCCTTGTTTTGAATAGCTCTGCCACCCTCTGGTGGACAGTGATTCGCCACTCAGAGGAGAGGTTACAAACTCCAGGTACCTTTGGGACCAGGTAGAGATTCTCTTGCCCTAGGGTCTTGCCTAGGCACATCTCATTCACAGGAACTACTTGGTCTCACGACTCTTCAAAGAAAGTGCGGTTCCCATTCTGAATTTGTAACGATCACAGTCATTCAAGAAACTTTAAGCCTGTTCGGCGGTGCGACAACTACGGAAATGTATTGCGTCGCTGGTGTTTAGCTGGGGCGCTCAGACGGAACCAGAGACCCCTGCCGGCTGGGAGGGCCAAAGGCGCTGGAGCTTGCACATGGGTAATTCGGAGCCAGCGCACGTGACTGCAGAAGAGGCGTAGCGCTTGGCAGCCAATCCGGGGTGCCGAATCTTCCGGGCCAATGAGGAACCTAGCTGTGCCCTTCCTCCCCACCCTCCTCCCCGAGCCGCACCCCTTCTCTGGAACCTCGGCGGGCTCGGGGCGTCTGCACTCCTCGGCCTCCGACATGCCGTTCATTGAGTTGGAAACGAACTTGCCGGCTAGCCGCATACCCGCGGGGCTGGAGAAGCGGCTGTGTGCGGCCGCCGCCGACATCCTGGACAAACCCGAAGACGTGAGCGAGGGTCGGGGAGCCCTGGGCGCGCCCAGTTGTGGGCTAGGGACGGGACCTCCCAGTGACCCCTTCTGTTATCCCCAGAGGTCCCACCCGCCTCCTAACTTCTGACCTTCCGTGTCCCATCCTCCTTCTCCCGGGTCCCCTTCCTGGTCGCCTTTCCCAGGCGTGACCCTGAGGTGACCCACTTCCAAGGTTCCTGGACAGTGCCCAAACCGTTGGACCCTCAGGTTAAGATTTTGGTGCGCCTGCCCGGCGCCAGCCCGGTCCTGTCCAGCCAAGCTTCAGGATTTAACTCTTACGTTCCCCGTAGCGCGTGAGTGTTACAATACGGCCTGGCATGACCTTGATGATACAGGGATCCACAGAGCCCTGCGCCCATCTTCTGGTCTCTTCCATCGGTGTTGTGGGCACGGCGGAGCAGAACCGCGGCCACAGCTCCCGCTTCTTCGAGTTCCTCACCAAGGAGCTCTCCCTGGACCAGGACCGGTATGTAAGACTAGTGAGGGAACATTTGGGACTGCTTTGCGTCCGGCGAAGTGATCCTGACCCCGAGCCCTCTTGTATATACGAATTTGCAGGGGATGAGGTGGGGGCGCTTACATTATTTGCTGCTTCCAGAAAGCACTCCGAGCCATAGTGCACTGTCTCTGATCCAGGGTGTCTGGTTTTCAGGGAGACCTTTTCCAGGCTGGTCAGAGGGAATCTGGTTATGTCCTGAGGCAGAGACCTTTGGACTAGATAAGGCTCCAGAAGAGTAACAGGGAGGTGAAAAGGCCATTGGCCCAGATATCTAAACACCTTGACTTGGGGGCTACCACAGCTAAGAGATCAAAGGTAAACCTGGAATTGACCTATCTCCAGGAAGGTAGCCAACCACCCATGCCATCCCCCCAAAGAAACTTACGCTCTGAAGGAAGAGTTAGTCTCGTATTCCTGAGCCTAGACCATGCTCCTGAGGACCAACAGGCATTAGGTTTGAAAGGACCTTCCAGAGTGGAGTCCTAGTTGGCTCAGGACAGCTGGTGATGGCCGCTGCTTGTGACTGTTCAGCGCCATCCTTAAATTAGGGAGACAGCGGCCTCACGTTCTATATCCATTATCCCATTTGATGCTTACGAATGCTTCCCAGGCCTTCTGTGTGCCTCTTTGGTATCGTTATGAGGTAGATAACTGCATTAGACCAACTTTACAGATGGGAACCTGAAGGTGTCAGTCCTGTGCACAGCTCCCCCCCCCCCCCATGCTTCCTCTGATCTCTGTGGATGAGAAACCATTGATTCCACAGATTTGAATCAGGGTTCACTTGCGCCTCGCTTTGAGCTGGGTTTTGGTTAAAACCTAAACGGCTGGCACCCTGGCATGCCTGTAGGGGACTGCAGTTAGAAGTAGGAGGACTGTCAGCTCATACACAGCCTGACATATGCAACCGAGCACAGGGCAGACTTACTGAAGCCATTGTTAGGTCTATCCTGGGCCCATGGATAGCCATTCTCGCACTTGACTGTCCTGGTGTAAGGATCTGGGGTGGGCAGGCTGGGAAAACACCCTATGGGCTGATATGGCCTGGCCTGAGAGCTTATCCTGGTATGGCTGACAGGGACCTTGGTAGATAAGGAGTTTGCCAAGGAGTTGACATTGCTCTCTCTCTTTTTTCTTCCTGAAGGATAATTATCCGATTCTTCCCCTTGGAGCCCTGGCAGATCGGAAAGAAAGGAACTGTTATGACTTTTCTGTGATTCGAAAGAAAGAATCCAGGGCATCTGCTGAGCCTGTCCAGGGCCCTTCTAGAGAGGCCTCCTGGCAGAGTTGTGGCCTGGTAGATATACCACTGTCAAATACCTCTTTTGCATATTTGTCTGTGGCTTCACTGCACAGTTTGTTTTTCTCTTCCCCAGCCTCATGAGTAAGTAAATGAGAGCAAATAAATGAAAAGAACATAATCCCAACATGACTTCTTTGATTCTGTAATCCCCTCTCTGGCATCCTGGACACTCTAGAAAGTGGGATTTGTTCATGAGTGCAAAAAGGATGTTTCCTGTTCCTGGGGCTGTTTGATGTTTACTGATAGCTGGTTCAGCCTAGAAGGCCTACTCTCTGTACCCACGGAGAGACCACTGGGGGCATGAGAGCAGCTGGTCAGGCTTGGTGGAAAGAGAATCCTCACTTTGCCCTGGGCTATCACTGTTGACTGCTGAGCTTGGCCTGGAGGATAAGGCCAGCTGCGTGTCAGGGACCATCCCTAGGGCTTCACTGTATACTTTGACTCTTGTTGATTCCTCACTGGAACTGTGCGCTTTGCTAGCATGCCAAGTATGGAAATTGCTTCTACTAGAAACTGAACAGCTGGGGCTGGAGAAGTGGCTCAGAGGTTAAGAGCGCTGGCAGTTTTTTCCAAGGGTCCTGAGTTCAATTCCCAGCAAACGCATGGTGGCCCACAGCCATCTATAACAAGATCTGGTGTTCTCTTCTGTCCTGCAGGCACACATGCAGTCAGAATACTATATAAATAATGAATAAATCTTGAAAGAAAGAAAGAGAGAAACTGAGCAGCTGCTATTCCCATGCCCCATCTACATGGCTTTGTATTTCAGATCCTACCCGTGGGGTGAAGAGCCCAAGGGAAGTCTCTTCCTTTTCCAGGTGTTCTATATGGAGTTTACAGCTTATAGCCCACAGACACTGGCGGGTGCTGTTTCACTGCGTAGCAGACCACTGTTCATCCTCACCTTTAGGACACCATCGAAATATAAAATTAAGTTTTTTTTATTCTGTATAGTCTACAAGCTAATAAAGTTAGTTTCCAGTGGTATTTGCCTAGGCCTCCTGTTTCTGAGTAGTACTGCTGGATTCTCTTTCATTTTGAGCCTTGTTTCTCCCTCGTATTTTAACCTATTTCCCAGGCTGTGGTGAGGCAACTATTAATGTGTAGTGCAGGGTGAGGGCAGCTGGCTGAGTCATGTTAAACATGGTGCTAGCTACAGGGTGTGCAGGCAGATTGCCCATGGATTGGGGGATAATGGGAGGCGAAGTCAGCTTCCAGGTTTGTGGCTGATGGTGATAGTATCCTTTTTCTTTCTCTCTCTCTTTTTTTTTTAAGATTTTATTTATTATGTATACAATGTTCTGCCTGTATGTATACCTGAACACCAGAAGAGGGCACCAGATCTCATTATAGATGGTTGTAAGCCACCATGTGGTTGCTGAGAATTGAACTCAGGACCTCTGGAAGAGAAAGCAATGCTCTTAACCGCTGAGCCATCTCTCCAGCACCGATCGTATCCTTACTAGGACCATGTAGTGCCTCTGGACCAGAGTCCAATTCACAGAGCACATTCTAACAACTGTGTAGGTGAGATGCCGTAGGCGGGCTGCACCGACCAGATGTGAGGTGTGAGGAACTTGCAGAAGATAGGTAACTGTAGTAGAAGTTTTGGTTTCTTTAAAAACTCAGTTATGTTATGTAAATACACTTTCTTTCTTTTTTTTTTTTTTTTTTTAATCCCAAGTGTGGGATATGGGACTGCCTTAGTTTACCCACAGCTGATAATTGCCTCGTGTGGGGCACTGTCATTGCCAGCTGGTAACCATCTTGTGTGGGCTCGGAGAGGCGTGTGATCTTTGCCAGCTGGAGTTAGTGGAATTCTGAGGGAGAGTGTAAATATGAGATCCCAGAGAGCAAGGGCTTCAAGGATACGGACAGGGAGAAGGAAGAAGGCTGCTCGCTCATTCCGCTGCTGCCGTTTGCTGCTTGCTGTTGCTGGACTGCTAGGCATCCTGATGACTGAGACTGGTATTGCCCCCCAAAGAACCCGATGACCCTAACCAGCTGGAACTAAATCTAAAGAGGTCTCAATCCCCTTTCCCTTCTAACCTTCTTTCTCTCTTACCTAGGGTTGGGGGGCAGTTGGAAGGAAGGTAGAGGCTTAAGGAACCCCAAATAAAAGAGTTAAAAAACCAGTACCAACAGGTAGCCCTTATGTTACTTGGGAGGATATCTCACCCCTAGGAGAGTGAGGGGGTTGGTGGCCTTGCTGCTAGCTCTGTCCTTCCTAGGGAAGGTGGTGGGAATGGGCTCAAGTTACTCTTGTTCTTCAAGACATCCCCC